CACTCCCTCTTTCTCTCTCTCTCTCTCTCTCTCTCTCTCTCTCTTTCTCTCTCTCTCTTTCTCTCTCTCTGCACAAACTATCAAGAGTCTTGACCCGGAGAGGGTTATGTCTCCTGCCTGTGAAGTCCATCCAGCCCATAGACTTTTCATGATATCCTAGAGCAGATACGATACAGTCATGGCCGCCCATAGCCTTGTTGTATGATAACCATAATATCCTAGAGTAGATACTGTCATGGCCGCCCATAGACTTGTTGTATGATAACCATAATATCCTAGAGCAGATACTGTCATGGCCGCCCATAGACTTGTTGTATGATAACCATAATATCCTAGAGCAGATACTGTCATGGCCACCCATAGCCTTGTTGTATGATAACAATAATGTCCTAGAGCAGATACTGTCATGGCCGCCGGTCTTAGCTCTCTGACAAACCACCAGTCTCTCTACGATCGAGTGAGAGCACAATGTAAGCTTTCCCTCTATCGTCGACCAGCTGTAAGTTAATGTTCAAAGTCCAAATTAAAATAACTAGTTAAATGAATTTATGTATTTTAAAAATGTCGTAGGCCTACACGATATCAGTTGCATGGCCGAGGAAGTATCTTGTCGAAATGTTTGAACATTAAAAATTTTTTAAAAACCCAAAAAACAAACTTAAAGTAGGTACTGCCAACAGAAAATATTTACTTAATTTTTACTCTCTCTTGTAAAATTATGTGTTTATAGGCTTAGTTAAGTACTACAACATTTTAACACTAACAGCCCCCACTGGTGGGTCCAACTTCTTAACTTTCTCTCTGTTCTTTCCGTTTGTCTGTTTTACTTGTTCCCAAGCACTGAATTATCATTATAGTGTCGATGTGCTTCTCCTTACTCCAACAAACAAACAAAACAAAACGAAAAAAACGCTTCTACGCAAGGGACATGAGGTACAGATTGTGCTGGCATTCTACAATAGCGAGACTTGTTGCGTTTTGCCCTTCATTTGCACACCCATGGTGCGCATCAGCGCATTAACTTTTTTTAAAACAGAGCCAGAGACAAAGAGCGACGGCCATGACAGTTACTGTACCCAGTCTAGTGTTATTATTCTAGTCTGTGGGTCACAGGACGGAGAATGATTACGTCCCCGTCTCGACTGGGGTCATTATACACAAGCGATAACAAGGGAAGCGATCGGGGCTGTTGTTATCTCCGCGGTTATCTCGTCTGCGCGCAGACACACACACACACACACACACACACACACACACACACACACACACACACACACACACACACACACGTCATGTTGTAGACACCAGTTAGGGGGGCAACGTAAGGGAGAGCAGTCGATTACAATTACTATCCAACCTGCTCTGACGATCAGCTGTCCAAGATATTCGTCTCTACAAACGACACCCCTCCACCTTTAGTGTTTTTCTATCATGTTCTTATACATTAATTACAATGACAATATTCAAGACGTCCATCTGTCTAAGACAACTATTTCACCCCTCGACAAAAAGTGGCCATCTTTGAAAGCTTCGATTGTAGTTTCCAATGTCTGCAGTTTTGTTCTGCATTGTTTGTTCTTTTGTTTTGTTTGTGTGTGTGTTTGTTTGTTGTTGTTTTTTTTCGTTTTGTTTTTTCACTATTGCCTGCTTGATCTAACTGAGCGAGTAGACAACTCTAGAGAGGCCTAGGTCATACACAACGGACATTCCCTAAATACGTAACGTGCTTGAACAAAGATAAGCTTTTGGTTTGGTTTGGTTTTATTAAGCATGTTTGAGTCTCCTAGAGGCGAGCAGTGCACCGTAGGCCTACATCCATAGTGCGTTAAATAAGCGAGGGTTCTTCGTGGTTGGTTGACGGGTGCTCTGATGTGGTGTACCATTAACAATTCTTTCCTGTAAAACATATATTGGCGTTATCTTCCCTCCTTTTTACTTATTTTTATGTCCGCTACTCTCTTGTAACTCATCAAATCTTAGGCACTTATATAACCTAATTGTCACCAACGAGGAAGTGTTAAAAGGAACGCAAAACAGA